AGGGAAATGGTCCGATTTAAAAAAACAGTATGTTGAATGAAAGATGTATATAAATACTACTTATCATAAAAAAATTGTAATGATCCATACATTTATCAAAAAGTTATAGCATAATAAAGTTAAAAATGTAAAATACAAAATCGAAAATTTTCATACAAAAATAGCATTCGGTAGCCATTTTTACCATGAAGACAAGTCNATGTCTGTTTTCATCATGAAGATAAAATAAAGTCCGAAATTAATTTTTCCATAATAAAATATATTATATTAGCTTTAATTTAAAATATATATAAAAGTGTCAGACCTTCCGGAACATTTTCAAAAGTTAAGTTGAAAAAGTTAATTTTTTTTGAAAAAGTTGTCATTTTAAATCCCCCCTTGTGGGCAGGTTAAGGGTTAAATTTATGAAAAAAATATACCAAACGAAAGGTAATGATATTACACATCTATATAAAAAAGAATTATATTGATATGTTCATTTTTGAAAAAGTTATGGCACTTTTAAGTAAAAAAAATTGAAAAAATTTCGAAAATTAGCGATTTTTAAATTTGTAATTTTTTTGGAGGTTTCCCCCATTTACGGGGAACGAGGGCATTTTTTTCAATTTTTGAGGGTAATGTCTTCGACTAGATACAGTTTGTGATCTTTTGACGTATCATTGAAAGAAATTGGTTCGGTGAGAGCTGAGAAAAAGTGGTAACAGACACAAAAAAAAAAAAATTAAAAATAAACACATCTTAGTAAAACCTAGCTGAGAAGGTCTCAGCTTCGCATCGAAGCTAAAAAAACGCTTCGATGCAAATCTTTAGATAGTGTTTAATTTTAAAAAATTGAAGAATTATTCCAAAAGCTACATAATCTATTAGTTCTTTTCTAATATCCTGATTAAGATTAAGTATGTCGAAATAAAAAGGGATTATTAAAAAATATTATTTCTCATAAAAAAATAATATTGATCCATACACTTTTCAATATGTCATAGCATTATAAAGTTAAAAATGTAAAAAATAAAATCGAGAATTTTCACACAAAAATAGCATTCGATAGCCATTTTCACCATGAAAACAAAATAAAGTCCAACATTTTTTTTTTAATATTAAGTATATTACATAAGCTTTAAATTAAGATATATATATAAAA